CCCCCCCCCTTTTGTTTTTTTAACTCCTGTGAGGACGAAAGCGGTTAGGTGGGTGGACGGCTGGTTAACGTCTTTAACAGGTGAAGCCTTAGTCCACGTTTCCCCTGTGGGTTGTTGTGTCAGGGAGCGAAACCTTCCAGCAGTCTTCCAGGAAAATCTGTCCAGGCTTCGCTTTACCTTCCAGGTAACATCGGAGTGAAAAAAGTGAAACCTTTCCGGGTGGCGGAGGGGGAGAGGAGGGCAGGGGAAATTCTTTCCATAACGACCTGTAAGCCTTTCCGAGCCCCTTCCCGCTTGAACGCCTGCGGATAGTTACAAAGCGTTCACTTGCTTCGGGCGTAATTTTGAAGTCTTCTGTGTTTCGTCTGTTTGTCTTCAAAGGGAACGTATCGGGCCGTGGTGGAACGTTCCTTTGTACCATAAAAAATGGACCCGGCAAATACTTAAGGATGTTTCATTTCACATAGAGAGTGGCCAGATTATGGGCATTTTAGGAAACTCGGGTAAGTTGCTCCAGTACTTTAAAAGAAACAAAACCAGAATTAAAACCAGCTTCCTTAATGGTATCCATCTGACAGAGATCTGCATTTTAAATAATGAAACCACAGCTGTTTTTAACCCCTGCTTTGGAAAACATGACCCTTGGTTTTCAGAGTCCTGTCCTCAGTCATCTAACTAGCAATTACAACTTCAGTAACAGATAAGGTTACCTCTAAACCCAAATGTTGCACTACGAAGTATAAATTTGAGTGAAATAAATGCTAGTTTACACATGGTCTAGGCTTCCCATTTAGTTCCCCTTAAGAGGCTGCATTTTCAGGACCAATTTTAATGCTAGTAATAAAAAAATACTTTCTTATTTCCATGTCTCCGTCCAAGTGAGGCTATGGCCCTTGAGACAAAATTTATCATATCCCATGATTAATTTCTTTTGATTAAAAGGATCTGGGAAAACAACACTTCTGGATGCAGTATCAGGAAGACTGGGATATAAAGACAACTTCTTTGGTGAAGTGTATGTGAACGGGCGTCAGCTGAAGAAGGAGCAGTTTAAGGATTGCTTCTCTTATGTGCCACAGGTTGATTTCTAAACTTCTTTTTGTGCACTGTACTTCCTCTTGTGCGAAAAAAGTAAAGAAGAGTTGCTGGTGTAATAGAATAATGGACCCTGACTGTGATTTCACTGGTAAACTTGGTACAAATTTGGCTGAGAAGTTAAAAAATTGTATGAATGTGTGAAGGGTGTGTTAGCAGATACAAGATCTTAATTATTACAGGACTAACCGTTGTTTCCTCTTTACCTTTTTTTAGAATGACACTTTGCTAAGCTTTCTCACCGTACAAGAATCTCTGACCTACACTGCTTTACTAGCTCGTCAGAAATGCTCCAGCAACTTTATCAAAAAGAAGGTCTGTATTTTATCATCTTCCACCAGAAATGCAGATGGGGACGTCATGCAGTGCTTTGACCAGCAGCACTGTCAATCCATAGCAGCGTTTTACATTTATGAGGTTTCATACCCTTTATTCTACAACTGCGGAAAGTGGCACATGAAGCAAAGAGCAAAGTGACTTGCTCAGGATCACACAGAGATCCTTCAACTGAGCCGCGAGTAGGACATGGGCTCCCGACGCTCCCCGCCTCTGCATGGGGCTTGTGTTGTCACCTGGGGGAATAGTGAACATGCAGGAATGAAACTCCAGCCTCAAAAGCAGCAGCAGTTGCTGCCACAGCAGATGCTGGTCCTGGTATTGAGCTCAGCTCCCTTTTTCCCCACCAGGAAAGGCAGCTCTCAGGGTCTGTAAGGCCATGCGCCTTGGCAATTTCCATGGACTGCAAAAACATCCCTAGCACTGCTCTGGCTTTCTATAGGATCTCTCTCACTAACCAGGAAAGCTCTAAAAAGCACTGATCTAATAAACTCCCTAAAAACCTACCTTCTCTATAAAATAGTGCATTTCAGATCTACTAGAAGGCTCTTTTTGGCCTCAGTTGAGAGTAAAGACTCAATATTCCTAGCCAGAGGCTCTTGCTGTCTGTCTTCTCTGTTCACCTGTCTTCCATTCAGCATTTTGTGCTTCCCTAGGATTGTTCTGTCTTTCTGCTCCCTTATTTTGGAAGCCAGACCAGCACCCTAATGTTTGACTTCTTCTAGCTTCATCTCTGAACTCCTCATCTCTTAATGTTGACTGAAGCTAAAAATTCTACTTGTTTAAGAATAAACAAAAATAAATTAAAAGAATATAATTTCAGCAGATGGAGGCCAGATAACTGTAAATGTTTTTCACTAGAGTGAATGCAAGCAGCATATTGCAAAAGCTTAAAGTTATGTCTTTTTTCCCTTCAATTTTTAATTTTGCATGTATGTATCTGAATCCGACAGTGATTAGTCTTTCTAAATTGTAACTATTTTTCAGGTTGATGCAGTTATGGCTGAGTTGAGCCTCAGCCACATTGCTGGCAAAATAATCGGAAGCCATATTTTTGTAGGAATTTCAGGGGGTGAGAGGCGTCGTGTTTCAATTGCAGCCCAGCTATTACAAGATCCCAGTAAGTACCACTACACTGATTTTCAAAATGAAACAAAACACTGTCACTTTGCACTCCCACTGTGGTTCTCCATTTTCCTCTTTAAAATACAAAAGCATTTGTATTCTGCAATTCAGCAAAAGCAGAGCTGTCTGGAAATGACAGAAAAGGATAAGCAGTAACGCTGGTCTGCCATTAATGTGTTGGTTGATCTTGGAAAGTAGATAATTTTAAAATCTTAGGAGTGAACATGTGTTTAGACTCATACTTAACTGCTTCACATCTTTCCCATATATGAACTGTTGGTTGTGACAGATTAATTTACGTTTTTTTTGAGCACATTAAAACCATATGTATGCAAGCACTGGGTCTTGTAGCAGAATAGCTGCCATTGAGCCATGCATGTGTGAGAAACATGAACCAAAAAGGTAGTCAGTACTTGAGCTTTACTCACTTGGACAGTGCACACACAAAACAGAATAACTGCTCCGGAATACAATAGTCTTCATGTACCAGAGCTGATTTAGATAGCAAGTCAGTAAAGAAAACACATCCCACGGCTCATTTTAGCTGCAGGCAGCGATGAAATGGGATTCCATTTCTCTTGATAAGAAAGCAGATACTGATGAATGTCACGCTTCTTTATATGGTTGTAGTTTTAGTGTAAAGAAAGAAATCAGATGGATAAAAATTGAAGCAGAGTAATGGAGTGACTGGGTGGATTAGCCATGGGAAACAGCACGTGAAACTTTCATTTGTCAGTCTTAAGATAGCTTCTTAAAGGTGCTCCTGTTGGAAGGATGTTTAGGATCTAACTGAAATGAGTTCATGCACGCAGACCCTGACTACAAGCATAACTAATGCATTTGCATCAATTGCAGAAGAGTAACCAAGAAAAAAAGGCCAAACAGACCACACCTGCCTGTTAACTGTAGAATCTTGTCTGTTAAAGTATCTTTTACTGTGAGTGTATGCCGTGCATTTATTGGGCCCTAGAGTCCTTGTAGGAGTGCAAATACTTTTAGCGTGCACTAGATAGGAGGGAGTATTTAGAAAGCAGAATAAGCTATATGGCAGATGCTATGTGCTAAGGCTGACTCCCAGAAAGTTCACTGGGAGTGCTTGATAAATTCACTAAGCTCATATCACAGTAACTCTTCCGTGCAGATAAGTCTATAGAGAAAGTTTTCTTCCCCGCTTACCCTGATCAAGGTGGAGCTGCCCTCTTCTTCTGTGCTAAATCTCATCTGTGTAAAACTAAAGGATTTGACTGTCATTTTCACACTTCCACATGCAATGTATTCATGTTGAG